CAAGATACTGTAGTACACGGACTATCAGTCTGTTCCAAAATCAGCGTTACCAACTCTCATGATTTTCTCTCCAGTCTTGTGATTATTTGGTATTTTTATTAAAGCTCCAGTTTGTGGAATCAGATTTTTAACCAGAGAATCTTTGTTTTCATTAAAAAAGTTAAAAGTTTCTAGCCCTTAAGCCTTCAGAGAGAAGCTGGATATCATGAACCCTAAAATGCCAATACCATAACGCCAAAAAAAAAAAAAATTCCTGTATTTTTGGAATTTTGTGATTTCTAAGCCAATCTCAGAATTTTTGAGCCCTCCTTTGGGCTGGCAATGCTGCAATACAGCAGTTGTTACGCTGCTGCTGTGATGAACAACTAATACGCACTTGAGGCTCTCTGATGAAGTTTTTTTTTTAATCAATTTAGAAATCACCCAAGTTCCAATAGAAGAATAAGTTTACTGGTTAATTTCCACCAAAGCTTTGATAACTGCCATTCACTAGAAAGCGTTTATCCTCTAAACTCCCTTGCTGAGTGTGTGTAGAATTACAAAGAGCCAGACAACTGATTTGTCTTCTAGTAACACATCAGAATGTACTAATAAAACACCTGCACATGTGACAGCCTGTGTACAAAAGTATAAACTAACTATGGTTAGTACAGCATTCGATATCGGCCCCTGAAGTTATAATGGTAAATAATCACATCTATGTGAAGTTTTCAAATAAGACACATTCTTCTAGCATTGCTCCAGGAGCTACTGATTTGATGAAGTTTCCACCCTTCCTAGTTATGTAAATTCCCGCCCCCCCAATGATTGCACAGGATTAAAGAAACTTGATAAAACATGTTAATGAAGCATATCTGTCACCTTTATTTTATTTGACTTCATGAAAGCTAGCAAATATCAACAGCAGTGTCAAGTTCTGTTCATCCTTACCCAGAGCTGGCAATTGTAGCCATGCAAGCACAGGGGTCTGCCCACATGGATGCAATTGGAAGACCTGGTCCCATGTTACTACAATATGAACCTCTTATTAAAGTCTCATTTTACTATTAAAACTACATAGCAGCCATAAAGGAGACAGATAAAACTACACTATTTGGTAGTACAAGCAAAGACGTAGAATACTAAATGACAGTTCACTATAAAGTCCACTCACTAGACTCATAGCACAAGGGGTTCAATTTTTATTTATAAAAAATAAAATTCCCAATTATTTTCAAAATACAGAAAAAAATAAGTTAATCCTGTCTGTTCTCGCTAATTCTGGAAAAATTTTAAGGCAGCCTTGAAAGTCTCTTACTTTTGAAAAGACTGAGGGAATACATTCCAGGGAGATATTTAAAATCTCTCTTGCTGAAACTGACTCTCAGTTTGAGAGCTCCGAATACAACAAAATGTTAACTTTATTATTTGTAGTCACTAAGTAAGTGTTGGGTGTATTCTGTCATTTAAAAAAAAAAAAGTTAGTATGCACAAACAAAACCGCAAGGATGCCGGACAATAGTTACCCAGGCATAACTATCCTTTTGTGCCTTCCACTTCAGTAGTTTTTAGAAGGGTGCAAGGGGGGAGAAGTTATCCAGTCCCTCTGCACTGAGAATGGCTTATACCCATAATGACATTCCTCAGAGCAAGAGTTTGGTTTTTGTTTTCTTAATTTACAAACAACTTTATTACCAACTCAATGTTACAATGTGAACACACCAAGGGCCATGCACGGATAATAAAAAGTTCCAGAGATGAGTATGTACCTCACATTATTAAAAGCACGCAAGCTATTATCTGCCCCAAATTTTACATTTCACAGACCACAACAGGATGACTAATACTTTTTGGAATTTACTGACTGATAAGATTTGATGACTAGGTTACAACTTTGAGGGAAGGGAAGAAAGCACTTTTCTATGCCAGGGTGAAGGAACGGGGCATGCATACAGTCAAATTACCAAGCTTTTCAAAATATATAAAAGCAAAGGAGCTCAAAATACAGTAAAGTTAAAGTCTGTTTCATTTTAGATCCAAAACTATTAATATTTTAAAATACTTGCCACTATAGTCAGTAATACCTGTGAGTGATCACCACAGCTTTGTATAAAGTAGACACTCCTATTACACCAAACCCTATTACATTTAAGAAGTGATACAAATAAAGCGTGGTTGTACTCTGAAGAATTACTCTTAAAAGTGTCATCATGAGACTCCATACTTGTCTCTCAATGATTCCAGATCAGTTATAGTCTCTCTCTCTCTCTCTCTCTATATATATATATACACATAACTAAGTGCCAGCCTGGTATACTCAAGAAGGTTCTTTCCAATTTGCAGCTCACTAGTAATAAAAATTCTGCAGCCTAAATTCTGCCCTCAGAAATACCTGTGCAACCTTACCTTACATTAGCTTGCACAAATGAAACTGAATAATCAATTCTGTTGACAAACAAGCAAGAAGAGACTCAAGCTTACTCTTTCTGAGTTGTATATTCTTTAGAGTGCTAACAGGAGTAAAAAGATAGCAGATACGACTCAATACACACGTGAAGCAGATTAATGAGTAAACTGCCAGTTTATATACTTTTCAAAGGAGAACTTCTCTGTGTAGAAGTCGTTAACAAGTGCTCTAAAGGCAACCTTTGAACCACATTTGACTATTGGAGAGATTGAGGGGATTAAGTGGAGAAGGTACATTTTGAAAACTGCTCACTATTCTGTCAGATACATATGGGCTCCCTATGTAACTAAGTGACTTTGGTACTTTTGCTTCCCTAAACAATGGAGACTAGGTAGGGTCACATTGGAGGAAAACGTAATATTAAACACAAGTAATGCCCACAGTTCCAAAGTATCAGGAGGTTTCTACAAAAATGATCAGCAATAAAATAACTATTGTTCAAACAAATAGCTATCATTAGGCTTCAGAGTTAACACAATTTGAGATTAACTGAAGAGTTTACACCTCTTTCAGACATACTGTTTCCAACTAATTGAGATAATGGATAAATTCACATTCACAAAGTTTTTGTTGTAACCATTAAATTAATAAACCAGAAATTATTTTAACTGAAAGTTTAAATTATACAGAAGCTGATGAAGCAACCCAGAAAAAAGCGTTGGTACAGTCAAGGCTTGGAATAACAAACTGACAATGTACTCAGTTTCTGTATTACAAGGTTGGGGGGGGGGGGGGAGAGGTACAGACTACAGTGATCTCCAGTAACCCTTTACCAATCATTCAGTGGAGCAACACTGATTTCATTACGCTGATCATCCTACCATGACAAATACACCAATTAAAAACTGGAATAGATATACCACACTTCAGTAAACAGTGATGTATAATATACCAAAGGGAACACCTGTGTTTACTGGCAGTAGGTAAGAGAAGGGGAAAAAAAAGTTGGACACAAAAACAGAAAGAACAAGCAGTATCAACTAGATAATACTACCTCCCACAGTTGACTCATTTTTTTCAGTGTGCACATGGCTAAGGAGGGAAAGGAATCAAAGCTCATAAGACTTCCAAAATGGCAGTTTCCTATTTGGTGTTATTTTTAAAGACTGGTTTTATTGAGCACTTTACTCTTCAGATATAGTAATTAAAAATAAGTATAATGTACATTACACCTGAGATTTCCTTTAAGGTTGGTAAAAGCCATTGCTCTAAATCTGGCTTCCATGGAGTCATGCCACTTTTCCTCAAGCTGATTTGGTCCTCTACAAGAGGACAATAAGGCCAGACCAGCATAAGTTCTAGCCAAGACCTCTCTTCACTTTATCAATGATGGCTCATGACAAAGTAAAACATTTTGCTGCAGGGCAAACAAAACACATCCCTCAAAGGTCCATTGTACAATATATACCCTTCACAAAAACCGCCTGGCTGCATCAAATAGTTTGGGCTAGAGATGGGGCCATTTCCTTGGAGCAAAGATAAACTTACATAAAACTTTAACAGTATGCAACATCCACCCCCAGGTGTTAGGGTGGATCCAAGTCCTGTGCAAAAGTAACAAGCCGTAGTGCAGCAGCTGACAAACCTAGCACATCTCCCTCATCTAGGTTAGGAAGTTTCCAGGGGGTGGGGGGAAGGGGACGGAGAGGGTTTTAAGGCAGGTTGTATAGCCCTCTTTACAATGAAGGATTTTGCTGTGTTTGACTAAGGCCTTTACAGTCGCCCTTGTTTATTCCCACCTATCCAAAAGTGACCTCCATTGATTTTTACTAGTACACCTTGAAACCGCTGCCTTTGCCGAACCCTAACCCTTTAATTCACATGCAGCTGGGGAGAGGGCTCCACGCAGCAGCACCCCGTGCCCCCGTCCCCCGGATTTCCGTGAGGCGGCGGCAGCCCAGGAGGGGGTGGCCGAGCCAGAGGAGGAACAGGCCAAAGAGCAGGGCCGAGAGCAGGGCCGAGAGCCCTTGGGGGGCAGGGAGGCCGGCACACACCTGGTGCGATGGCCCAGCCTAGGGGACGGGAAGACCAGCAGCGCAGCCTCCCCCGTGCCCCGGCCAGCGCCTTGCCCCCACCTGCCTGGCAGGGAGACGCGCCGCCCCCGGGCTAGCGGCGCCCCCGGCTGCGGGCCGGCCGCAGAGGAGGCCGGGCGGCCGCCTCGCGGCTCAACCCTCCGCGCCAGGCCCGGATGACGGGGGAGGAGGCTGGGAGGCCACCGCGGCAGCCAGGTTAGCGCGAGCCCCCCCCCCTCCCCCGCAGTCGCGGCTCACTCACCTCGGCCGGCCCTTGCCGCTGGGAGCGCGGCGGCGGCGGGACTGGGCGCGCGGGTCGGGGAATGAATGGAGGCTGCAGCGCCCGGCTTCCCCAGCAGCGTCCCGCGTCTCACCTTCTGCCTCCCTCAGCGCCGCTGCCCGGCGCCTGAGCAGCTCGCCCCGGCCGCCCCCCCCGCTCCGGCTCCCCGCCCCTCTGACGCACTGGCTGTGCAACGCCTCGAGCATCGCCCACCCTCGGCTCCCCGGCGCGCGGGGTACCCGGTGCAGCCGCCGCCTCTCTCCCCGCCCGCAAAGGCGGGCGCAAAACAGCGAGACTTCGGGACTAAACAAGCCGCCTTCGCACAGCAGCACCGGGGCAAGCGAGGCTGAGCCTCCCTTCTTTACCGAGCATGGGGCAGGGCTGGTGAACGACAATACTGGACTAACAGACTTATCCGTGCTTAGTTGTTGTTTTTTTTTTCTCTCCAAAAGACACCGCAGGATCCTGTAATAAGACATGCAAATACTCCCAGTTGAGTACACTCTCGCGGATGGCGTGCGATGCCCTTACTGTCCGCGTGAGCGCCTGCGTTTCAGGGAAATAAAGAGCAGCCACAGAGAAAAGCAGGACAGAGCTTATTGTCAGGGACAGCCCTGCTGATGGTTGATTCATGGTACAAAACTAAACGGTTGTAGCACGATGCAAGCCTTTGCATAGATATTGCAGATAAGACGCATTCTAAATTGACATAGGTGGGAGGTTGGATGGTAAACAGCTAGTTGGGGCCATCCCTTAAAATAAGCGGCAAGTGGTCACCCCTCTTACTGCTGAATGCAGTAATATTTTATGAAGATACATATTATTACAATAACAGGAAGAGAAGGGCACATACACAGTGGTATTTATCACTTTATAGCAGTTATATTTCCGAAGTGCTGTAACTCTACTGAAATCTATTCGATTACAAGAGGGTTTCTAAGAGATGGAATGGAAAATTCTCCTTTAAAAAAATATAGGGATTGTCTTAAACAAAGAGCTACTTGTATTCAGGCTTTGTCTAGACTGTGGCCTTTTGATCCTGCAAGTAGATTCAAATAGGTAGAATCTTGAAGCATACAGAAACCCATTGGCTCCAATGGGGCTTCTTGTGGATTCAAAGATCCACCCACACAGCTCTGCTTGCAGGATCAAGACTTGATCTTTACTGTCTTTTATCTTTGTGTGTTGGTTGCTGATGTTTGTTACTCCTGCACCGGGAAATTGGAAAATATGCTGCTTTATATAATAATACAAGGTAAGACTGTGATATTAAGATTGTGGATTTACATCCGCAAGTAAGAAAATTTAAAAGTTTCACATAAATGTTAATTCGCCTGTGTTGTACGGATGTGTGCATAATGATATGCATGCAAAATATGCATATATTCAGTGCAAAAACTATGTTAAAAGAACATTAATGTTACAAAGTCAAGCATTCAAAATGCCAGTATTAAGATTGCCTGTGAAACCTAAATTCAGTCCCTTTGTGTGTATGCATTATATGATCTTTAATTACATGATCACATACTATTTTTTTCCACAGGATCCCTGTCTGATTTAGCGTGGGGGATCAACCTGCTCTGGTGATGAATCAGGCTTATGCAGTGAAGGAAGCTGTTTATGAACTCCCTGCCTCATTTGTTGCACAAGTTGGAAGCTATGTCATGAATGAGGCAGGGACCTGCAAGAAGAGAAAATACCGTTTCATGGTGAATGGTGTTCTGGAGAACTGGATTTTATCCCTGACTCCAGCACAGAGTTCCTGTATGGTCCTAGGCAAGTCAATTAAACCAAATTTTTCAGAGGTGGTTGCTAATTGTGTATTCCTCATTTTCTGGCTGCCCAGTTTGAGACTGATTGGAGGACTGCTGAGCACTCAGCTGCAAATAGGTCACAGGGAGGTGTGCTTTGAATATATAAAGTGCTATGTACTGTTAAGAACTCTGAACAAAATCAGGGCCAAAGCATCTCAAATTGGGCACCCAAAATTAGTGAACATTTTTTATCTGAATCTCTTTGTGCATGAGTTCCTCATCTGTAAAAAAAAAAAAAAAAGGGGGGGGGGTGGATAATATTATCCCTTCACCTCACAGAGGTGTGGATATGTTTCCCCTTTTGACCAGAGCAGTTAGCCAAAATGTGGGGTCTTGTGGGTTGTTTCCATTAGGAGAAGAATTTGATGAGTCTTGTACATAAAGTCCTGTGTCCCTGAACTCAGTAGGAATCAAAAAACAGTAGACTGTTTCTTTGCTCTCAGTTCCATGCTTCTTTTCAGCCAGCAGTCTGCCCAAAAGCTCTCTGTCTTAGCTTTTTCTCAAGGTCACGCTACAAGTCCTTCTCTGGATGTGTCCAGGGTTTCCTTGCTGATGTTGCTATGTGCTTCTCTAGTGTTCTGCTCCTTCCCTCTCATACACTTGAAATCTATTTAATCCCGCCCCCTTGCATTTATCAAACTCCCAGAAAACCCCTTGGACTGCATGGCCCAGCCACTGCCCAGGCTTGCATGTGGTCTAGGCCTTGGGCAGAGGTTTTCCATTGTTTCAGCTATCCCCTGGCTGGAGCTGCAGGGATAGGCGGAGCCCAGTGGGAAGCCTGTGAGCCCCGTCAATCTCCCCTCCTCGCCCCAGCACCAGCAATGTGCTGCCCTGGCACCAGTGGGGTGTCCCGTGCCACCCCCCCAGCACCAGTGGGGGTCCCGGGCCACCCCCAGCACCTGATCACAGACAGAGACTGGTATTTTATTGAACCTTTCCCCTGTACTATATTATTATTGGCTTACAGTAATAAACCTGATGGATATTGGTTAATTGGCCTCTTGAATATATTTCATAATGAATCAAAGTGTGGTCAAGCAATTTACTATACAGTAGAACCTCAGAGTTATGAACACCAGAGTTACAAAGTGACCGGTCAACCACACACCTCATTTAAAACCGGAAGTACACAATCAGGTAGCAGCAGAGGGGAAAAGAAAAAAGTAAACACAGTACAATACTGTGTTAAATGTAAACTGCTAAAAAAATAAAGGGAAAGTTTAAAAAAAGGATTTGGCAAGGTAAGGAAACTGTTTCTGTGCTTGTTTCATTTAAATTAAGATGGTTAAAAGCAGCATTTTTCTTCTGCATAGTAAAGGTTCAAAGCTGTATTAAGTCAATGTTCAGTAGTAAACTTTTGAAAGAACAGCCATAATATTTTGTTCAGTTCTGAACATTTTGGAGTTAAGAACAACCTCCATTCCTGAGGTGTTCATAACTATGAGATTCTACTGTACAATTTAACAACAACCCTGTCTCCTCCAACCTGTCCCAGTCCTATCTCTTCCCCACTCCTGGCTCCTCATTCCAGTCCCAGTCATCTTGCCCAGCCAGTCCTAGCCTCCTCCTCTAGACTCCAAGTCCCAGTCTCCTTGTCCAGCCAGTTCTGTTCTCTTTCAGGCTTCTCATCCAACTTCACCACTGGCTCCCAGTCTCCCCTGGCCTGTTCTCCATCCCAGTCTCAGTCCCAGCCTCCACTCACCCTCCCCAGTTCCCACTCTCCTTGCCCAACTAGTCCTTGCCTCCCCTCACAACTCCCAGTCACAGTTTCTCTACTTCCCTTCCCCACTCCAGTCCCAGACTCACCAGGCTCCCAGAACTACTCCTTTCCCTCCCTTCTGGTCCAGCTCTTGTCCCCCTGCATTCAAGCCAGGCAGCTCAGGTCAGCTGCCCAACCTCAGGTCCAGGGTATTGAGCTGGCTTGGACTTAGGTGACGAGCCTGAGCTGCTACAAATGCCACAATGTCCAAACTGCTTTTTAGTGCACTAGCTCAAGCTGAGCTAACATGAGTCTCTTTGCTAGTGCTGTGAATTACACACCCAGCCAGGAGCGGCAGAAGCTCCCTAGAAGTGGGGGGGGGGGGCACTGGTTTCTGGACCGTGGCCCCATCCCTGCCCTGCCCCTTCTGGCAAAGACCCATATCTGAGGCCTCATCCTCACTTTGCCTCTTGCCTGAGGCCCCGCCCCCTGCTGACTTGCCCTTAAGGCAGGTAAAAAATGATGGGGCCCTCCCGTTCCAGCGCCTCTGGACACAGCTGCAGAGTAGACATACCCAGAGAACACAGGATAGACAGGTTCCCTGCTCAGTTCTGGTGCCCAGACCCACCCTTTCCCAGAGCAGGAATATAGAGAAAATCCATTTTAGCCCTTGTTGCCACACGCTGGAGCCTGCTTGGTCAGTGTGGGGATGCTACACATGCAACCTGATCAGCACTAATTACTGTGAGCAGCTGAAGCCTACTCAGTGGGATGCAATCATCAGAGATTTTAGCTGCCAAAACCTCTTAAGAAGTCTGCGCATGTGCAAACAGAAATTTTTTCAAAGGCTTCTAACAGGTGAAGAAAAAAGCACGTTTCCTAACCAAAGGCCAGCCCCTGCCAGCATTCAAGTCCTTACTTCAGGGGGGGCAACCAAACCTTCTCAAAGAAAAGGAAAGAGGCAAAACAATGTATTTTTTCCCTAGCCTCATTCTTGGAAATGGCTGAACAGTTTATGCTGGAACAGTCCAAAAAAAAAAAAAATTCAGCCTGAGGCAGGCACCTGGCATGAAAAATTAAAGCCCAAATGGCTATAGTTTTGCAAAGTTATAAGCAACTGAAAACAGGGTCTTATAGTAGGAAGTGTTGGGCTACCTTAAGAGGTGATGCTACCAGTGGTGCTTATAAGTAAAGCACACATCTAACAGCATGAACAGTGACTGAAACGCTCCATATTTTGTGTGTGCAATACGGCAGCTACATTGTACCTGAACATTTGAACATCCTGACTTTCATGGATTTAAATTCTTAAATGGGAGAGCGGGGAGGAAATGACTGAAGCTATAATTTTGTTTCTCTAGAAGTATAAGGAAGACCTGATAGTAATTTTTGTTTGTTTGTTTTGCTATTTATTTAGGATTACCAGGAATATAAAATGTTTTCTTTCTAGTTTTTGCTGGCTGACTCCTGGAAGACCAGGGAAGGGGAGCAAAACCTTCCTTATCCCTCAGTAGGATGGATGGGGATGTGTTTAAAGAATCTTTTATTACAACTATTTATTAAGCATTTGAATTAAAAAGACATTAACAAAACAGGAGCTTTACTAACTAAAAATACATCCACCTTTCAGTTGCTCAGGATTCTCTCTCTTGGCCCTTTTGATGTCAGAGTTCCAGCCAGTTTTCCAGGGAAGCAAAGAGATAGCTATGACCTGAATTTCTAATGAACGGGGAGAGTTAAAAATAAAGCAAGAAAAAAGCAAACATTTCAGGCCCTCTTTCTACATTATAAAGAGACCATAATCCTCAAACATTTACTTTCATTGCAGATCATCTTCAATGTTGTATTAAAATAGTTTTGCATTTAATTCTCTCCTTATTTTTTCATTTTGTTTCTGTGCTGTCCCTTAGTCATGGAGATTGCTCCCTGTAAAAATCCACAAAGGCAGCATATTATCCACTGTGACGGGGCAAGGCCAGATGGCTATAGAAAAGTAGTAGGAGATAGATATATTAGCTCCAGGATAAACAAATCCCTGGTACCAGGATAAGTGAAATGGCAGCTGCTCCAGGTCAACAAAGACACCTGGGGCCAATTAAGAACTTTCCAGAAGGCAGGGAGAAGGCTAGGTTGATTGGGACACCTGAAGCCAATTAGGGGCTGGCTGAAACTAGTTAAAAGCCTCCCAGTTAGTCAGGTGGGTGTGCATGTCAGGAGCTGTGGGAGGAAGTTGCGCTGTTGGAGAGACTGAATAGTACACACCATATCAGGCACAAGGAAGGAGGCCCTGAGGTAAGGGTGAAGTGGAGCTTGAGGAAGTGAGGGCTGCTGTGGGGGAAGTAGCCCAGGGAATTATACATGTCATGTTTCTAAAAGGTCAGCTACCATAGCTGACACTATTAGGGTCCCTGAGCTGGAGCCCGGAGTAGACGGTGGGTCCGGGCTCTCCCTCCCCTCCCTTTGCCCCCTGATCAATCACTGAGATTGATGGGAGACAACAGAGACTGTGCAAGGAAGGATAACTTCTCCTCACCTCCCTCGCTGGCTTATGATGAAAATGGCTCAGTAGACTGTGACCCTTGTCTCTAGAGAAAGAAGGGTTATGTGGAGGGTCACATGAGCCTCTGAGGCTAGCAAAATCCGCCAGGAAACGTTGGGACCCACGGAGGCAAGGACAGAGCTTTGTCACAACTGGTTTTAGAAATGGGATTTCGTTCACAGCGTGGCGGAAGAAAGAGGTTTAAAAAAAAAGTGCACTGGGGTTTTGGATTTTTTTTTTTTTGGTTTGTTTGTTTGCTTTGTACCACAATGGAGGAGGTGGTAAGAGCTCTGGTACAAGCCACGGCAGCCCAGCAGGAGGCCACCTGGGTTCAGGCAATGGCACAACAGGAGTCTATGCGGCTACAGCAGGAAAGCAATCAATTATTGATGAGCCAGGCGACCCAAGTTCGTGCCCTCTTGAGAGAGGTGGTGGACCAGCTGAAGATCCTCACCACCCAGGCCCGGGGGTCCGACGGGACATGAACCCTGAGGGCCACTGGTTGTATGCCAAAGATGATGTCAGGAGATGACGTAGAGGCATATCTCCTCTCATTCGAAAGGACTGCTCAGCGTGAGGTGTGGCCCCAGGAGCAGTCGGCCAGCGTTCTCGCCCCTTTTGTGTGGAGAGGCCCAGAAGGCTTACTTTGACTTGCCTGCCACGGATGCCACTGACTATACCCGTCTGAAGGCAGAGATCCTAGCACAATCAGGGGTAACGGCAGCGGTAAGGGCCCAGAGGTTCCATGAGTG